CTGGATCGGGAAGACACCCTGGATGAGGGCATGCCAACCCACTCCAGTATTCTTGCCTGGAGAATTCTATGGACAGAAGAGCCTGGCAGGCTACAGTCCATAGGGTCACAAAGAGTTGGACACTCCTGAAGCAACTTAGCATGCATGCACTCAGTCTAGTTCAAGAATTTGAGTGGGGGTAGCCCCAAAAGGTGTGTATGGTAGTAGTGGTGATAGTGGTGGTGTGGTAGTTGCGTACAGAAAAGTGCTAAGTGTGACAATGGATGGCCTAATGTTAACCTTATTGAATTCTTTAAGCCAATTTGTTGGATTACTTTTGTACTAGATCAGGCTTCCGCGGTGTCTCAGTGGTAACGAATCTGCCTGCAATGCAGGAGATGCGGGTTCGATCCCTGGGTTTCGAAGATCCCCTGGAGAAGGAAATGGCAACTCACTCCAGTGTTCTTGCCTGGAAAATCCCATGGACAGGGGCGCCTGGCAGGCTACAAATGGAGTTGCAAAAGAGTTGGACACAACTTAGCAACTGAACAATAAATAATATATCACTTTTTGCAGGACATTTGATTTATAAGTATTTTTTAAAATGTTATAGGGACATTCTACAAATCACTGCATGGTATTTCAGTTTTAATACACCAATTCTGCCCTTGGACTCTTGTCTGAAATGAAACATCAACTAAGTTCAAAAGTAATTATTTTTTTATTTCAACTCTATAAAGTATACAACAGGCACTCGGCAATTACAGCTGCAGGAAAAATACAGAGCAAATCAAAGCAGGTTAAGTTTATGAAAAAGTTTTTAATCTACATCAAAAGAGTGCAAGTGGTCAGTGACCACTGGATGACGGTTGTTGCATTCTGACTAACAAAGGACTCTTTCATGTAGAACAAATTGTAAGGGGACAATCAAATAACCATAGCTGTAAGAATACAAAAGAACTGACCAGTTGTAAAAACATCATACATTGAAATAAATTTGATAGATGATGCTTCAAGAAATGTCCCTTTACTCGGAAAGTCCAAACCTCTGAGTCACTGTCCTGTCCCAGAGCTCTGTCTGTTGATGCAAGGGCAGATAAAGAGGAGGCTAACAACACACTTTCAACGTTTAGCTTTCTAGGTCTGTTGAAAACTTGCCTTATAAGTGATTTGCATATACAAGAACTCAGAGGAAGCATCCTGTTTTGTTGAGTGGTGCACTTTGTTCATCATTGGTTTCATGATGAGGCTTGGTTAGCAGTCATTTTCCAATTTTTCTTTTGAGTTGGATGGTTTTTCACAGAGTCTAAAAAGGGAGATTTCATAACTTGACTGCACTAATTTTTTTTTAAACTGAATCTGCACAACTTAGCAAAACAGGAATACCTGTATACAGACTGATAGTATGTCATATATTAATTTGACCTGCACATACATTTATACATTTCACAGAAATGACGCTGTATCTCATTAACAGATACACAGCTCTGGTACATTGAACAGAAATAAGAGAACGACTTCATCATTTCTGTAATTCATCAATATTATATAATAAAGGCTTATAAATTGTCAGCAGAAAGAACTGTAAAACGCAGCAAGCTAAGAAAGGACAACGTTTTGAGGTGTGTTTGTCTTTGTCATGCAGCATAACACCAAATTTGTTTTTTAATAGGATGCCATGAATTTAAGGCACTTGCAACAATGCCAGATAGCCAGGTCATGTTCTAAACTATGGGACGGATGAATAACAGTACAGTTGACAGAATTTTCAATAATACTGACAATCAGGACATTAATTCAAGTCTACTTGGACCTAAAAACTTTATTCCATACAAATTAAATGAAATAATAATGCTGTGAAACACTAAAAAAAGTTATATGTACCACAAAATATCACACAAAAATATCTATTTACATAAATATTTGTCTGTGGTCCTATTGTGAAAGAAAACATTGTTATGGAGAATGCACACATCACCTCTACCGTATGAAATCAGTTCTAATAGCCTTATTTTCATGGTAGCTGACTTCTTTAAGTTCACCATCAGTTCAGTCTTTTAGAAATAAAACAGGAAAAATTCAGTAGTTGAATTTATATAGTATACATGTGTGCTTCACATGCATATCCCATAATTATAGGTAAAAATTATGATTTGTAAAGAATATAATAAAAATTAATTTGTTTTAAATGGCATGTGGATCTGATTCCTATATTAAAGAAGGTAGAAACATAAAAATCATTCATAGCAAATTTCCAAAATTCATTTTTCCTAATGTAGTCAATCTATCTCAAGTATAATGATATTCCTTTCCTTGGCAGTTTTCAGTTTTCCTGTGAGTCAGGACACACACAAAGCCCTTATATCCCATACTTGAAATATTAACAAAAAGTCAGTTAACAGATCAAACAAGTTGGCACTATTCTAACTTATCTGGATGTTCTTGTAAGAAATGAGAAGGGGCATGAAAAATTCAGAAATAAAGTGAGATGTGCTTTGTGAAGCCAACCATGAATTTTAGCCCTAGTGTCCTCATTAAGACAAGATTTAAATCCTTAAAATTCATTGTTGAACATTAGATGAATGTTTTCTCTTAGTAACTCTTGTAAGATGTAGTTCACCTGTATTTTTTTGGTGATTGCTTTAGACAGCCTAATGCAGTGCCACAAGTGAAATGAACAAAGATACGATAACAAGTGGCAGAAATGACCTACAGTTACATTATGCTGAATGCCACTTCTTCCTTCCCCACAAAACTTGAACATATTGGTTGTCTTAGACTTGAACCATAGTTCCAAACCCAGAGTAAGTGCTAATTTCTGGGGCTATTGGGATATTTTAAAAGTTGCAGGAGAAGATTCTCTTATCTAAAATGACTGGATAAATTTCATTTTCTAGCAACCTTTAGCATGCCTAAACCACTGTCTTTAAAAAAAAAATCACTGAACATTGACTGTAATGTTGCAATTATATTTTTAAAAGCCCAAATTAAAAGCAATATTAAACTTCTGAAGTAGCATTAACAGCTGGATTTCAGATTGATATGTTTAATAATGTTTTGTAAAACCTGTAGAAGAAGGTATCTTGAGGAACAATTTTGGGAAATTATTAAGAGAGGGAAAAATCCAATAATATGAGAATAATATCTTAAGATCAAAATTTTAAATTTATTGTAATTACTTATAATATGCCCTTAGTACTTTTGTTTTCCAAATGTTTCTTAGATTGTTGTTTTGATAATATATCATATTCTAAAGTCATGATGTGAAAATTTCAAACAAAAATCATAATATATGCCTTCTTGAATACTATATAATGATCTAGTTGGACATATGTTTTATAGAAATGTCTACATTTGATTGAGTTTTTAAAACAAAAAAGCAAACCTCTATTTAATATGCCATATTCACATAGTTTCAAATCAGGATAACAGCTTGTAAAATTACACATTTGTCTAAGGAGGTATAATGCTAGTTGGCTCTGCTACTTAGGACAGCTAATAGTTGTCAACTGGCCTGCCAACAAAGGACTCTTTGCTGATTCTTTTCTCTATGAAATCAATTTGTTATTTTCAAACCTAGTCTTTTCTAGCTAGTATGATATTTCAGATTTGTAATATTTCTGTTCTATTTAGCTCTAATTTACTTTTAAGATAGCAGGTTCCTGTTTCTCTCTCTCTCCTTCCTTCCTCCTTTCACATGTTAATAGACGCATATTGCCATGGACAAAAAGGTAATCTCACACCTGGCCAGGTTCTTCTCTTGTTCCTGACCTCATAAAGTTAAGGTTTCTCATCTGGTGAATCAATGGTTTTGTGCTTTCTTTTCTTTTTTGGTTCAGGCCTAAGACAGGAAGCTAGTTCAAATACATTTTTAGTCACCTTTCTCCCTCAACCCTAGACTATGTTGTATAAGTGAAATCGGACAGGAGTTTGGTTTGATAACTTGAGTGAAAATGCTTGATTCTCTGGCTACACATATAATGATTAGAATTTGTGTTGTCTGTTCAGACACTGACATTTACAGATGAAAGATATACATAGCACCTATATAGTTTTTTATTTTTTTGGATGGATCTTAATCCCTCTCCACCCCACCCTATCGTAAGGGTTTATTTTTATAAAAGGGAATATTTTAAGCCTCAGTTTGAGGGTGTGTTAGGTAACAAATAAAAACCAATTGGCTGCTAGTCATTTATTTCCAGGACCATCTTTAAGCACACTGTTTTTAAAAATATGAAATGGTTTGTGAATTGCTTTTTTCCCCCACTCTGTCATGCCAATTTATCAAAAAGAAATGAACAGATATATCATGCATATTGATTTTTCTTCAGTCCTCTGTGAAAACGCATATATACCTGCTATGAAATTTCTCAGCAGAATCCATAGCAGTTGTGCTTTTATCATACCAATTTTTAAAATCTGTCAGAAAGGAAAGGTAACATTCAGTCTCGTCATCAGCACTACTGGAAAATAAAATCATGAAACTTCTAGCACTGTTTTGACATGACCTCTGTGACCAACAGATGCGTGGTCCTCTTGTGTACGGTATATACACTGGCTTGCAGTAACAGAACCGACAACCCTCACTTGAAGAAAGGGGAGAGTCCAGTTTTTGTACCATAGTAATCGTACCCAATATATTATTTTTTGATCTTCTTGATAATTCTAGCAAGGTACTGACTCTTTTACTAGATTGAAGTGTTTCTTACAGTCTTTCAAATTATAATCAGAGCAAAGCAAGATCATTGCAACAATGGAGAACATCTCTTTACTGGTGAAAGGCTTTGCTTCAGGACCACCATGTCAACTGCTATATTTAGGTTCAAACAGAAAACATGTAAAGAGCACTATTGTCATCTAAGCAATAAGTCCTAATGCCACTGTAGTTACTGGAGCAGCATCGATCAAAGGCATCATGGTGACCCCGAGCACTCATCTTCTCTCTTTCCTTCAGGTTTGCTGGCAGCTGTGTCTTAGAAAAAGCTGTCTTCAGCAAGGCAGAAGCAGGTAAGAGAAATACATTAGAAGTCTATGTCCCATCCTGAGTTGTCATCAGGTGGTGGTTCGTCATTGTCCTCAGGGAAACTGTCAAAATTGCTTGTGTCTGTGGGTGATGCAACCTGTAAACAAGAGTATTAGTGGAATTCCAAGCTAGATTTTTTAAAGCATTCTTTATTCATTCCTTATTCAGTGGCTCTTTTTGGCATGTCTACTATGAGCAGGGTTTGTCCTTTGTATTGAGGATTACAGTGGTGAATAAAAATAGACATAGTTTTTGCCCTTCTAGAGTTTACACTCTAGGAAAGAATAAGTTGTATGATCAAAAGAAATAATTACAAAACATCTCTGTAAACTCTTACGTGTTTACTGGCAGTTCAATATGCAGAGCATAAATAAAAGTGGTGAAGAAGCAGACTTTAATTTCTCTCATATTCTATAATATTTAGAACTTCATATTCTATTTTATATATTTATATACCTATTATATATATATATATTCCTCCATTTAATACTACTGTTGCATAAAAGGAGACCCCTGGTGATTATAAGTTAGGATACTTTAGGCTTTTATTTGCCTCTTAAAGTTTCTTATTCTGCCTTTGTTCTAAAAAGAAAACTTCATGAATGCAGTTAACATCTGTACTTTGCTTTGTTTGTGAATAAATATAAATATAAGCATATAAATTAAAATAATAAGTACAGAAATTGTTTCTGTATTAAGAAGTGATCTTAAATTAGTCCAAGAAAAAGGATGTATATAAATGAAAAGATCAGGAGTGCAAAGCAGCCCTCTCCTCATTAGTTAAGACTGAACACATTTTATTAGATAGATGCTGTATTGAATAAAAATATAAATGCAGTCAACTTATTTCAGGTTAACACAGTATCAACATTTAGTTCACTTCGTGGGCTAGCAGTTTAACAAAACATCTGATATATTAGAAGAGAATGTCTTTCTTTTAGATCCTGATCAAACAATAAAAGAAAAGAACTGTGCTTAGGAATACTTCAAAGAACTATGGGGGCAGGGGAGGAGGAAGTATGTGGAGCATAAATGAGACGATATTGGCCAGGAATTGAAAGCTGTTGAAACTGGTAGCTGAAGTGTTGTCTAAACCCAACAAAAAAACCACAGCAAGGAATGTTGTGATGTGGCCCATTTGGATTGGACTCTTAGAGACAAAGCCTGGTGGAGTCATAAATGGAAGGTAATAACAGATTATCCTAACTCATCTAAGTATACTCAAGTACACACTACAGAACTTACTGCATCTTGTATAGAGAGAACATGAATGTGCAGAAATTTAAAATAATTTATGAATATGACTAAATAAGGTTGTGAATATATTCTTGGGCAAAGATGTATAAAGTTTTTATAGTATGTGGAAAACGAGATTCATTATACTCTCCTGTCAACACTTGTATATTTAACACATTATAAGTTTGGTTTTTAGAAGATGTCATTATGTTAATCTGGTATTTCTCCTATATTTTAAGCTGATCATAGGATAAAAATTTTGAAATAGCAGATCTTTGATGACTGACAAATACCTTCATGTGTATCACACAATTACAAGTTGGAAAGTTTACTTACACTTGGTATTATAGGAGGTGTCAAGGTGCCTTTTCTTAAGCCTTCCCAATTAAAACCCTCAAACCATCTAAAAAAGGAAAAAGTAGATAGTTAAAGGCATTTTACCTCAGCTAAAGCCTTCTCAAAACAACTTATATGATGTCCATGACTGATGGAAAACAGGTAAGCAAACATTTTCATTATGAGAATGTTTTCTATTTAATTGCAGATTTTAAATGTTAGCTTATTAAGTGGAATGCATTTTTTAAAATCTAATTGTCAAAATTTTAAAGGCCAATCAGCAATTGCTTTTTATTCCAGTTATTTCAATCATGACCTTGTTCCAAAACGATCATTATAACTTAATAAATGCCATAACATGCTTGGCCCTGTACCCTACAGGTTGTTATTTTAAGAAGGTAGAATCAGGGAATGAAATGTCAGGATGGAAAATTATCCTTCCATCTTTGTCACTGGGCAGCCTCAGTTAATTAACCTTTTCACATCACTGTCTTGGTCTCTATGTATCCGTATCTCATTTTCTTTCTTTCTTTTTTTGGTATAATGAAGGTACTTTGAGTATGGCTTTTCTGTGAAAATGGGGACCAAATATCACAAAGGTTTTTGTTGTTGTTGTTGTCTTTGAAAGGATTCATCATTAGCAAATGATTACATGAAATTCTTGCAGGCTTTTTAGACATTCATAGGTATTCTGGTAAACGCATTCCTTTGGTAGGGATGTGAATTTAATGTGCATGTTACAGAAACCAATAGGAAAAGACCAACATGATCTTGGTTTAGCTTTAGAACAATCAATCAACATGGGTAAGGTTTAATATTTAAGATACTGCTTTTGTTTTAAAAAATGACTGTACTCTGTACTTTTTTCCACTGTCATAGCATCCGATTAGGAAATGGTTGGAAAAATATGTTTTAGTTTTAGTTAAAGAAATGAGGCATGGTATATGGTGGTATACTTTTGTTTTTAATATTCTGGTAGAGAATAGAATTTCAGAATTAAAAATATATATTTGTTTTTCATGCTGGAGAGGAAAAGTCCTAATTAGTAGGAATTGGGAAAAACTAAATTCAGTGAATCTGTTGTTTAGAATGTCACAGGGTCAGATGCGTCTAAATAAAGTCCTTGAGACAGAACTAGAAAGATCTTAAATAACAAGACTAACTAGTTTGCCTGTCTCATTGGATGCTCCTATAAACTAGTTGCATCAGTTATATAACCACGAACTTAAAAACATCAGCCTCGGGAAATATTCTCTGAACTCTTAAACCTTCAGTTATAAGAACACTTACTTGTGCTTTTGAATGTCTTTCACTCCGTTTTTCAAATTCCCTAATCTTTCTGATGGATTATCCCTAAAAATAAAATAATAATTGTTAAAAAAATCTATTTTTTAAAGGCTCATAATGGGAAAAACAATGTGGGTGAAATGCTCACCTGCATAGTTTTTTAATTAAATTAGCAGCATTTTTGGCAATCTTCTTTGGAAATTCTATCATGTCAATCCCCCTCAGTATGATGTTATAGGTTTTCATAGGATCTGGGCCTGAGAAAGGTGGGCTGCAAGAATGACAGATATGAAAAGAGAGATAGTATTTAGTTTTCTAAACAAGAAAAGTTACAGTGTTATAACAACTCCACAAATGACATCAGTTCTTATTTGGAGACATATATTAATAGGGGTAGTGGAATGAAACTTGATTAATAGCAAAATGGTGTAGAAACCTTGCCAAGCAAATCATTTAGCAAAACCCTTAAATGGGTCAGGTTTGTCCACTGTTCCCCTCATTTCTTTTTTAGTGCCGATGACTAACCCCTCTTGCTGTCCTTAGTCATTCAGAAAGGCTCTTCTAATTAATTTTTGGCCCTTTCTCACATTTGCAAGCTCACTGATTACACTTGAAGTCCAACATCATTAGAATGGGCTACAGGAACATCACTGATATGACCCCATCTTATGTCATTTCTACCCTCACTCATTGGGATCCAGGCATACCAGTCTTCTTTCTGCACCTCTGAAGGACCAAATAGTCTCCCACCTCAGGGCACTGTTCATTTTGCCTGAAAGTTTCTTCTCAGGCCTCCTGGTTAAGGCCTCACTTATGAAGTCTTAGCTTAAGTGTTCTGTTGCTTACTCAAAAAGGCCTACTGTGATCAATCTAATACAGCCAATCATATAACCATTATCAACTAACATCATGTAATGATCTAGTACCAGAACTTAAGGTTAGATTCACCTATCATACTCTCTTATAGAACTGTTTTTTTGCCACTTATTGTGCTTTGTAACAACTTCATTTTGGTATTTGTTTTATACCCATCTTCCCTTCCAGTTCCATGCTGGTATTCCCAGAGTCTGGGGGAATGCATAGCACAGAGTAAGTTGTCAGTAAATATTTGTTGAACTAATACTCCTACAGAATAGTGCTCCTCCTATCCTTTTCTCCTTCTTTATCAGCTTTCAGAGATAACCTAACATAAGACCTCCTCTTTGTTAGAAAGGATGTAGTAGCCAATCCTCTTAACCAAATCTTTTGGTGTATTTACCTATCCATCCTCGGACTGTGGCTTTGTGCCTGGCTCAGGAAATACAGATGTGACTAAAGTCAACTCCTTCCACCACATTTCCCAAGTTCAGAAATAATTATGATGTGACTTGATAGCTGATTTCCTTAGAAATTATTCTAATACAGTGTTTATTCATATTTCTTGGGGGAAGACATTTTATGGATTATTTTCTGTCTGTCATATTTATTAATAGCAGTTCAAATTATTTCCTTCTACTGAGAAAGCTGAAAACAGTGAATTACTTAAAAAGGGCTGGATAGTATCTGCCTTAAGTTTTGTTTCCCTATTTTCTGTAGCAAGTACTTTAAAAAAAATATTTTATATTGGAGTATAGCAGATTGACAAGGCTGTGACAGTTTCAGGTGGACAGCATTGGGATTCTGCCACATGTATCCATTCTCCCCCACAAATCCCCTCCCATCCAGACTTCCACATGACACTGAGCAGAATTCCCTGTGCTATACAGTAGGACCTTGTTGGTCATCCATTTAAAATGTAGTAGTGTGTACATATTAGTTAAAAACTGCCTAACTATCCGTTTCCCCCAGGGCTTTCCCCCTGGCCACCGTAAGTTTGTTCTGTAAATCTGTGAGTCTGTTTCTGTTTTGTAAATAAGTTCATTTGTATATTTTCTTTCTTTATTCCACATACAAGGGATGTCATGATATTTCTCCTTCTCTGACTTTGCTCAGTATGAAAGTCTCTAAGTCCATCCATGTGGCTGCAAATGGCATTACTTCATTCTTTTTATGGCTGAGTAATATTCCATTGTATATATTCACTGCAGCTGCTGCTTTATCCATTCATCTGCTGATGGACATTTAGGTTGCTTCCATGTCCTGGCTATTGTAAGCAGTGCTGCAATGAACATTGAGGTGCATGTATCCTTTCTGACCATGGTTTTATTTGGATATAGGTCCAGGAGTGAGATTGCAGGGTCATATGGTAGCTCTATTTTTAGTTTTTTAAGGAACATCCATACTGTTCTTCATAGCGACTGTACCAATTTACATTTCTACCAGTAGTGTAGGAGAATTCCTTTCTTTCTACATCCTGTCCAGCATTTATTTGTGGATTTTTTGATGATATCCATTTTGACTGGTGTGTGGTGATACCTCATTGTAGTTTGGATTTTCGTTTCTCTAATAGTGATAGTGGACATCTTTTCATGTGATTTTTGGCCATCTATATGTCGTCTTTTAGGAAATGTCTATTTAGGTCTTCTGCCCATTTTTTGATTGGGTTGTTTTGATGATGTTAAACTTCATGAGCTGTTTGTAAATTTTGAAGACTAAATCCCTTGTTGGGCACATCATTTGCAAATAACTTCTCCCAATCTGTGGGTTGTCTTTTTGTTTCCTTAGCTTTCCAGTTTAAGTAGGTCCCATGTGTTTATCTCTGGCTTTATTCCCATTATTCTGGAAGACGGATCAAAAAAGATATTGTTTCAATTTATGTCAAAGAGTGTTTTGGACTTAATGTTTTCCTCTAGGAGTTTTATAGTGTCCAGTCTCACACTTAGGTCTTTAATCCATTTTGGGCTTATTTTTGTGTGATAAGTATTTTCTGTTTACTTTGTCATTAACTGTTACCTGTCAGTTTAAACCACTTTTTATAATGTATTAACATTCAGTTCTATTTAGTACTCTCCTAGAATTTAAGGATGTTCTCTTTATATAATGTTATGGTTGAATATTCTCTTTGCTCTTAAGGTAACTTGCCAGATTTTATTTTCACTATAAAAATGAAGGACCACCACATCTTGGATTTATTGTTAACAACTTCATGTTTTTTCTATCTTACATTTTTGCTTTTGTATTCATCTAAGAAAAACAGGGCTTCCCTTGTGGCTCAGCTGGTAAAGAATCCACCTGCAATACAGGAGACCTGAGTTCAAGTCCCTGAGTTGGGAAGATCACGTGGAGAAGGGAAAGGTTACCCACTCTGGTATTCTGGCTTAGAGAAGTCCATGGACTGGACTATACAGTCCATGGGGGTCACAAAGAACTGGACATGACTGAGCAACTTTTGTTAGAATGACAACAAAAATCATTTATTAAAGGTGACTTTTGTTGTTTCTGCCAGTCATGTATGTTTTGTCCAAGCTATTCATGCAATACATGAAACATATAAAATTACTTAAAAGTAAAAATCACCCAATGACCTTAAATAATAACATACTTACAAATATAATTTCATACATTTCTCTATGTAGATGGAAAGACCCACAAGATTATTATATATCCATTCTTTTCAAAATTAAAAAAAAACTATTCAATTTCATTTTTCTTGAAGTTAACATGAGGATAAAACTGAAAGAAATGCTCAATTTCAATATGTATTTGTTCACCAACAATATTAATTCCTAAATGTCTCTTAAATTAAGAAAACGTTTTTTGCTCAGAAATAAACTCACACACCTATGGTCAATCTACAACAGACAAGGCAAGAATAAAGACAGTCTCTTAAAAATGTGGTACTGGGAGACTAGACAGCTATGTGTAAAACTAGAATACTCTCTTAACACCATACACACAACTCAAAGATCTACTGTAATGTAGGATACAATAAAACTCTTAAGAGGAAAACATGCAGCTCTGTATCACAAAAACAAACATTCCCACATTTGATTGGGTTAAGACCTAAACAGACCTTAGAAAAATAAATTCTAAACTACATTGAGGTATTACCTCACACTGGTCAGAATGGCCATGATCAAAAAAATCTAGAAACAACATGCTGGAGACAGTGTGGAGCAAAGGGAACCAACCCTCCTACACTGTCGGTGGGAATGTAAATTGGTATAGCCACTAAGGAAAATACTATAGACCTTTCTTAAAAAGCTAAAAATAGAGTTGCCAGGTGACCCAGCAGTCACATTCCTGGGCATGTATATCCAGAGAAGACTCTAACCGGAAAAGAGACGTGCACCCCAATGTTCATAGCAGCATTATTTACAATAGCTAAGACATGTAAATAACCTAAATGTCTGTCAGCAGAAGGGTAAAGAAGATGTGGTACATACATTCTATAAAATGGAATATTCCTCAATGATGAAAAGAACAAAATAATGGCATTTGTAGCAACACTGATGTACCTAGAGACTGTCATATTGAGAGAAGTAAGTCAGAGAAAGACAAATATTGTATATCACTCATATATGGAGTCTAATTTTTTTAAAAAAAGAAACAAATGAGCTTATTTATAAAATAGAAGCTGACTTACAGATACTGAAAATAAACTTATGGTTACCAAAGGGGAAACATAGCAGGGAGGAGTAAATCAGAAGCTTGGGATGAACAAACACACTGCTGTATATAAGATAGATAACCAACAAGGACCTACAGTATAGCATAGGGAACTCTATTCAATATTCTGTGATAACCTATATTAGAAAGAATCTGAAAAAGAGTAGGTTTATATGTAATTAAATCACTTTGCTCTATACCTGAAACTAACACAACATTGTAAATCAACTATACTCCAATAAAATTAAAAAACAAAAGAAAAATATTTTAAAAACTGATTTTGGAATTTTTTCTTTTACAATGACATAATTCAGTTGTAAAAAATACTTAAGATTCCTAATTGTGAATGATGACAAATAGGTATGCCTGTAGTTTTTCTTACCTTCTCTCTCCCACCTGAAACTTTTAAGATTGCCAAAGATTTTAATGTTTCCATCTGCTTAATAACCAAAGTTATTTTGATTCATCTCTTAGTTGACTTGGTCATACAGTAGTGTTGCCAAGAAAGGCCTGGGATACCCACCATTATTTATTGTCTTTATATTTTAAGAATAACTTAATCTTGTACAATTAGTTGTTATATTCTGTCTCTCTCAGAACTACATAGTTCTTGATATTCCATCTTTTGACATTGAATGTACTACTGAGAAGGTTGAGGCCAACTTTAATTCAGTCCCATCCCATATGTGAAATGCTTTTGTAGCTTAGAGACCCATATGATTATGTTGTTATTTCTATCACTGAAGCTAGCAAATTATGCTAGGACACATGGTGGTGTTATTACTCTGAATCTGTTTCCCCATGGTCACTGCCGATCAAAAGGATCCCCTGAGTCAAGTCTGTGTCATGGGTTTTCTGTTACCTAATTGAGTATGTTTTCTATCACATTTGTAATCATCTCTTCATATACATAGCGGACAGAGGAACCGGGCAGTTCATGAGGTCAGAAAGAGTTGGGGACATGACCTAGTGACTGAACACCTTCATATACATAGTTGTTTTTCCTGTTTCCTTTGACTTCTGTATCTTCTTTCTGTAACAATTTATATATCCTTTTTTTTTTCCTTCTTTTCCATTATTTTCCCTAAGTCTGTTTACTCTCTCCCTGGTTGGGTTTTAATTGCTATTATTCTATTTTCTGTTGCTTATATATGATTTTATGTTGCTTGTAATCTGATTTTCAGCTTTGTACTATCCCTAAACTCTGCAGGTTTACAACTTTTGTCATCTATGAACATTCAGGTATCTTTGAAGATATATATATATTTTTAAAGAGATCATGCTTAACAGCCACAGAGAAATTCTAGATCAGTTTGTCTGAACTCTTTCTATGTTTCTTTGAATCATTTCTCCTGTATATTATTTAGCTACCTTTGCCTATGTATCTTTCATCTAAAATTAACAGAAAATATCAATAAAGTCTATTAATTTGAAGTCAACATTAAGTGTTTCAAGAGTAGTGATATACACTGTCCCCAAGTGAAATAAAAAACCATCACATAACTATTCCTGGCAATTATAGTACTAGGAGTAGCTGTTAGCATTAATGAAGTGCTTCTTATGTTCTAGAATTTCTAAGTACTTCATAGATTCATTGTATCTTCATAACGGTGAGACCAAAAGTGCCATCTTTCTCATTTTCACTGTAGCTACTAGGTTTTCATAAGTAATTTGTTACACCGCATGCTGCTTCTTAGATCTGAATTATTGGAATGATCTTCAAACTAAGCTTCCCCATCCTTCCAATTTGCTCTACACATTACCACTAGATTGTTTTTCTTAAATACTGTAACACATGTCACTCCTTTATCAGAAACTCTTCAATGATTGACTCTCTGGATGGAGTCCGAACACTCAGGTATAGCACTCATTGCTGTTGAAACGTGACTCTTACTGATCTTCCATCATTTCTTTTCCATTGGCCCTTTTCATGTCTTTGCACAGTACTCCCTCTCTATTTAAGCCATACCTCTGCCTGGAATGTGCTGTACTTTTCATTATTCTTCCTGTAAGATCCAGCTAGTCCTATGTGCTTCAAAAGCCTCCCTGGACAAATTTAACCTTCTTCTGAACTCTTTACTTCATAGTGACCATGACCCTGTTAATCATTGTGCTGAGTGAGCCCAAGGCTTCGTGGTGGTGTTTGTTTCTCTTTTCCTTGAGTTTATGATCTGTTTTATACCTGGTCGTATCTGTAGTACCTTTTTTAGTTGTTGGTAATTACAGTTTTATTACACAACAGATCTGCATTCACATTTCAATTAGATATGACAATTGCTAACAGGTTCTCTTAACTTCTATGAAAAACAGACTATATTTTTATGACTATCATCTTTCTTGCTGACTAAATGACTAGGCTCAGATCTCACAGAAAGACACTAGATCTTTCCACATTCACATATATATAAATAATGAGACCAAGAGTTGATGTTGAGTTTGTTGCACTCATCTGACCCATTTTAGTTTTTGCTTTAAGAATCCCTGGTTAAAAGAAAAAAAAAAAAAAAAGAATCCCTGGTTATCTGCTGCTGCTGCTGCTAAGTCGCTTCAGTCGTGTCCAACTCTGTATGACCCCATAGACGGCAGCCCACCAGGCTCCCCCATCCCAGGGATTCTCCAGGCAAGGTCACCGAAGTGGGTTGCCATTTCCTTCTCCAATGCATTAAAGTGAAAAGTGAAAGTGAAGTCGCTCAGTCATATCCGACTCTTAGCGAACCCATGGACTGCAGCCCACCAGGCCCCTCTGTTCATGGGATTTTCCAGGCAAGAGTACTGGAGTGGGGTGCCATTGCCTTCTCTGTGGTTATCTGCGTAACTAATTAAAAAGTGTGGTAGCAAGACCTGTGAAAGTACTTTAAGATAGTCTGATAAAAGTGACAAAGGCAGGAGGGAGGAGCTGTTTGCTGGTCTATCTTTATAAGGCAGTTCTCTATCAATGTCCATACCTGCCAGTCAGAAGCTCGTACATGAGGATTCCCAGTGACCAATAGTCGGCTGAAATGTCATGGCCTTTGTTCAGGATGATCTCTGGGGCTACATATTCTGGAGTCCCACAAAAAGTCCATGTTTTCTTTCCAAATCCTATTTTCTTTGCAAAGCCAAAATCAACCTTACAAAGAGAGAAACAAGATATTTCAAGCCACTTTTGATTAAGCTTAAAAGTGGAAAAGTTACTTTGTTGAAGTATACTGATGATAATCATAAAATAAAAACGGACGAAAACTATTGTAGTTCTGTCTTCTAAAAGGAGTCATCTGTATATTTCAAACAAACAAAGCCTTCCTGATCAGTTCAGTTTCAACAGGAAAAGTGGAAATCTTAACATAGGATAAAATTCACATCATCGAAAATAAAGGCAAACCTTTCTTTGCAGAAATACTTTCTATTTTTCTTTCTTTCATGCCAGTTGAGATTGGGGGCATAAACAAATAATTTCTCCTTTACTCGGGCATATTTTCCAGATATCTGCTGGATTTAATGAAGTTGACAATTCATTTAATATTAATTGAGAAGCTATTTTTATTGTTGAAGGAGCTGAATAACAAAGTTATGGAACCAATAACTCTGTCTTTAGGAAACAGAGATAAAATTGAAATGTAATCTGCATTGTCCTAGAAAACTTTTGAAGGAGGAGCCTCAAATGTAGAAAACCTATTTTTTCTAAAGCAACTGGTTGAGAATACAAATAATTAATTGCCATTAATTACTTATTAATGGCATATAAATTCTTTGAAAACCATAGGTTGAATAAAAATTCCAGAAACTTAAAAAGTAGAATCAGGGATTGAAAGATGCAAAGTCTACAAAAGTTATGCATTTTAAAATAAGAGAACTTCCTTTCTACAGTAAATCTTTAGAGCTCTTGACCAATTTTATTATTGCTAATATTATTACTAACATGGACTGGATAACATTGCCTGTAAAGCCCATTTTTTTCCCCACTATCATTGTTATTACTTTTTGGCTGTGCTGGGTCTTTGTTGCAGTGCAAGGCTCTTCATTGCTGCGTGAGCACTTTTCTCTAGTTGCAGTGAGCAAGGCCTACTCTCTAGCTGCGATGTGCGGGCTTCTCGTTGCAGTGGGTTCTGTTGTTGCAGAGCATGGGCCGCCTGAGCCACCAGGGGAGTCCTCTAGGACACATAGGCTCCAGTGATTGTGCTGCATGGGCCCAGCTACTTCATGGCATGTGGGATCCTCCTGGACCAGGGATCAAACCCGTGTCCCCTGTATTGGGCCTCCAAACCCCTGGACCACCAGGGCAGTCGCATTAGCATTATTCTTAAATCTAAAATAATGATTCTCCATAATAATACAAATACCTATTCCCTTTGGATGTCAGAAAGCCAGCTAGAAATAGGACTTCTATGAAGCTTTTCTGGGTCTGAGGATACATGTGATTAAGCATGACTAACACCTATTTAAGGGTTTTTGCCAGGATTTTATTCATTCAAAGCCAGCCAATTTAATTTCTCGTAACCCTATTTAACTTGAAAGAATAGTCAGTTGAAAACAGTAATGCTGAAACCTGTTTTTTTTTAAATGTTATATATTAAAAGAAAGATGAGGTTGTAATGTTCACAAATGAACACAGCTTCAAAAACTAGTATTTAAAATGCAGGCAGAAACCACGTGTGAAACATACTGACCAGTTTGGCATAACCTCGGTGATCTAGGATGAGATTTTCCGGCTTGAGGTCCCTGTAAATGATTCCTTTGGAATGCAGATAGGCAAAAGCTTCTACCACACATGCTGTGTAAAATCTGGTTGTAGAATCTTCAAATGACCCGCTGAGATACAGAAAATGGGGAATAAAAAAGCATGAAAGAAATTCGTTTGTCTAATAAATTTTAATTTCTTATTTCACTCTATTCCTATGTCAAAATTTGACCCCAAAGACCAATGTCCTACTGTCCAAATGTCATATGGCTACCACTGCATTGGGTTTTAAAAACCATTTAAGGGTTAAGTTAAGGAATTGTTTGCTCTTGTGAGTAGGATGATTAAATCTAACTTCCTGAAGAAGAGGTCAGCCATTTACCATGTTTCATGTTGGATTCCTCCCAACAACCTACTACAGTCTAAAAACGCTAAGTTACAGAGAGGTAGGCAGAAGAAAGGCAAATTCTATTTTAGACCCTGTCTACCAAGGGGTGTTTTTTAAAGAAGAGAGTATGAGTATAGTCATATTTATTCTTAGCTTGTTTTTTGAATCTTTCTAAATAATAACAGATATAATTACTGAGAAGGTGAATAAAAGTTAATGTTTTCAAAGAACCACTTTGGAAATGAGTTACAGTGCTACTGATAAAAGCACATCACAATCTAAGTATTCTTCTTATTTTAATATATTTATTCCATTAGTTAGTTTGCTGTGCTGGGTCTTAGTTGTGGCATTCGAACTTGCAGCTGCAGCATGTGGGATCTAGCTCCCTGACCAGGGATCGAACTTGAGCCCCCTACATTAGGAGCACAGATTATAAGTCACTGGCCCACCAGAGAAGTCCCTAAGTATTCTTCTGTTTGAAACTTCTGCCAGGAAGACAGACATTATCTATTTCCTGTGCCTTCTTACTAGAAGGAAAAGATAGAGCTAAAAGATAAATAGAAGGAAAAAGGTAATTGGAAAGGATTGTTTAAACTCAATTATGGTGTTTAGCAACAAAGCTCTTTGTCTCTGTGTGTGTTTATTTAATGAAATAACAAAAAAGGAAAAACCTTATCATCTAATGTTAACTCCTTGGCCCTAGGGCAAAATTTTATACTTTACCCATCCCCATACTCCCACCAGGGAATCCCTGAGAAAGATAAACTGCCTCCCCTTCCTCTTCTTTCTCAAACAGTAGTAAATGCAATTAAATGATTTCATGAAAATTAGTGTGAACATTAGCTCATTAGCTCTTGAGGTGGCTAAGATATAACAGGAGAGCAGGTTTTGAGAAATGTACAAAGTAGAGACCTGGAATTTGCTTTCATGAGAGTCACTGATACCAGTTTGCATTTTGCTCACATTTGCTTCTTTTTCAGTATCGAGGGGTAAATTCTATCAAACTGAAAAGTAGAATATGGTTGCTGTTCTGCAAAACTAATCAGTGACTCTAAGGCTAAAGCAGCCATCTTTCAGGTCATGTTTTAAAAATATGTAGCCTCCTCCAGAAAGTTCTAGTCTTCATTTCAATTACTGATGTCCCCAAAGCTGTCACTGAGATAATTAGCTCTTTCCAAAGGGAATGTCTTTTGTTGAAATACAATTTGAGGCTTAAGTGATATCTACTTCTTAGAATCTTAACTATAATAACTAAGTTCCTGGTATCCTTCTACAACAATACCTGGGTGGAACAATTTGAACTTATAAGGACAATAAAAAGTTTCATTAAGAATGTGTGCATGCTCAGTCAACCAACTGCATTTACACTAGGAAATGAATGGTATAGAATATGCTACGATTGTCTTTTGACTTGGAGCTATCTTTGCAGAGCTAGCACTATATAATCCTGGGTAATGGAAAAAGAATTACGTGCATGTGTGCTCAGTCGTGTCCAACTCTCTGCGCCCTTATGGACTGTAGCCCACCAGGCTCCTCTGTTCATGGGATTTCCCAGGCAAGAATACTGGAGTGGGTTGCCATTTTCTCATCCAGGGGATCTTCCCTAATCAGGGACTGAACCCATGTTTCCGAAGTCTCCTGCATTGCAGGCAAATTCTTTACTGCTTGAGCTATCAGGGAAGCTCTGACACTATATAATCTTGTGAATTGCAAAAGAGATAGAGTAGTACCTTAAAGGTTCTTTCATCTTTGACCTTAATTATGTTTGACTATCAAGAGCAGCATATTTCTTTGAGATATCATTTGTCTGAATCAGTAAGCATCCATGTGTAGCTGATTATTATACAGCTTTAAACAGAGTGCTATATACAACCTCAATCCCTTCTCAATGGAGACCATTGCAAAGAAAAATCCAAAGAAAAACAGTACATGGGCTTTGTCTTTTTTTCACATTACATGCCTTATTTTGATAAGAAAATTGATTACTTCATTGTAATAGGACTGTCTAATTGTGGTATGGGTGGGCCTTTTCCAAAGCTTACAACTCTTGCTTCCTGTTAGAAGAGTTACCTCTGCTGTTGAAATGCTGAGCAACAGATCTGTTTCCCTTAATTGTTAATAAAACAGAACCAAATTGTAAAGAGAGAATACACTTAATGAAAGATCAATTTCTCATGGCATCTCTGCTGAATGATACTCATATATAGCAGAAAGACAAAACAATCTCACTACAAACTCAGATTCATCAGAAAGGGTAATAGGTTAGGAATGTGAACTCTGAAGCAAAGTCCTGGACTGAAATCTGAGTTCCACTTACTATTTAATTTTCAACAACTAACTATGCCTCTCTGGGTCAGTGTTGTCATGTTCAAAATGAGGCCAATAACAGAAATTCTCTCTCTGGGTTGTTGTGAAAGTACAAAAAATTTGCAGTGTGTATTAAAATAAGTGCCTGGCACACATCTGGTACTCAGTAAATAGTTGCCGTTATTGTATGTGTGTGAGGGACTCCCCTGGTAGCTCAGATGGTAGAGACTCTGCCTTCAATGTGGAAGACCCAGGTTTGATCCCTGGGTTGGGAAGATCCCCTGGAGAAGGGAATGGCAGCATCAAAAAACTCTTCTTTAGTGCCACCAGTGTCTTAATCTAGGAAAAGTGACTGATACAGGACAGTCTTCTGGGGATGGGAGTGGGGAGTTTGCAACTCTAATTATCACTGTTATTGAAACATTTGCTGTTTCTCACTGCAAGGGCTCACTTTGAGTCAGCTCTGAAGAGTTTTCTGCTAATCTCTGTTCTTTTCACTTTCTCCATGCCTCTCACAAGTGTATAGGTAAAAATTATCCTTTTACGATCGAAACCCTCCTTTTTCCACCATGAAGGAACTGACGTATATCATTGGGTCTTTGGTTCCTGATGATTTGGTTCTGAGCCATTTTGGAATTTGGATGGCTCTAGAAAGCTGGTTTCTAGTTCCTCAGATCTGGATTGAGTATCTCATACACACACACACACATATAGATATTTGAAACTGATTTTAAAAATTAAGTAAAAATTTGTCTCAAATCCATTTTCATGTTATGTGACAAGTCAATACAATATATGCACACAAAATGTTTACCAGAAACAGTTTCATCACTAAACATTTAATGCAGGGAATCTGAATTTTAAAATACACTTTTGGAAAGCAGTCAAAAAGCATAGCATTAGGCTGATTCAGAATGAAAAATTACCATTAGAATTGGAAATGACAGTGTAAATTTGATTTAAAACAAAAATGAAAGCTTGTTTTATCAACAGAAAGTTGCTTAAAGAAATAAATCATTGCCCTATAGAGCTCTCTGAAATAATAAATTATGCCTTGGCAGTTGGGTCATTTCAATTAACAAGTAAGGAATAGGCTCTTGTATCCTCTGTGGGAGTGAGTGGGTATTTTATCTTAGCTCGATGGCAGCACATAACAACAATTTGATTCAGGGAATTCAAGGGTTATGTACACTTATTAATATACTCAAAATTTAGCCACAATGTTTAATCAGCTTGTCATAAACCAAGTCCTGAAATGACAGGATGAAAAAGTCAAAGCATCTCTTACTGAAGAATAAGTTCCTTCTTTTCATTAGAGCGTATATAAACCTGAAGCATCATGCTACAGGTTTATTGCCAATTGTTAAATTAGGGAGACTAAATTATTGTGAAAATACTCATTTCCTTAAAAGTAATTTCAACCATACTAAGAAATGACACATTTCCACCTAATCGGTCATCTAAGATGGAATTCAAATAATCTCCTTCCATAAAGTAGCTGGAAAAAAGGAGAATGTATATAGAAAGTTACTTGCTGACTTATAAAACATATCCAGGAAGAGTGAAGACCAGAAGTGAGATGTGAAAATTATGGTTTCTTAATTATTTAATATATTCTATGGTAGCTCAGCTGCTAAAGATTCCACCTGTGATACAGGAGATCCCGTTTCGATTCTTGGGTCAGGAAGATCCCCTGGAGAAAGAAAAGGCTACCCACTCCAGTATTCTGGCCTGAAGAATTCCATGGACTCTATAGTGCATGGGGTCGCAAAGAATCAGACACAACTGAGCGACTTTCACTTTCATAGGAAAAATGAACAATATATATACTTTAAAAAATGCTAATAGTTTATATATTTATATTCATTATAATATATATTAACTGATATTAATATGTAACATATAAATACTAATGCTATCTAATATATCCTAACATAAGTATATATACTTACCATATTAACCACTTACATTTTTTTTTAATTTTTATTTTTTATTAGTTGGAGGCTAATTACAATATTGTAGTGGTTTTTGTCATACATTGACATGAATCAGCCATGGATATACATGTATTCCCCATCCCGATCCCCCCTCCCACCTCCCTCTCCACCCGATCCCTCTGGGTCTTCCCAGTGCAGCAGGTCTGAGCACTTGTCTCATGCATCCAACCTGGGCTGGTGACCTGTTTCACCCTAGATAATATACATGTTTCGATGCTGTTCTCTTGAAACATCCCTCCCTCGCCTTCTCCCACAGAGTCCAAAAGTCTGTTTTATACATCTGTGTCTCTTTTTCAGTTTTGCATATAGGGTTATCGTTACCATCTTTCTAAGTTCCATATACCACTTACATTTTTAAGAAAGTTGCAGGGGTTACTAATTCTGCAACTGTCATAGAGGAGAGGTCAATACAGTTTGCACCAATCTATTCCAAATCATGTAAAAATTTGTGGGGAAAAGTCATAAACTAGAAGATAAAACATGATAGCTAATGGAGAATAAACTAGGGCAATAACTGCCAGAATTAACCTTTCAGTGCCTTATATTTCAAAGATGAGAAAATATTTAAGTCTTCAAAACCTGTTTGTAAATATGGTATCAATTCTTACTTCTTGACAATAAATTAAAAAACTGCCCTGTCTTCTTTTTCTCTGCTGATGAGAAGAAAGAGTGAGAAGCAAGAAATGGTCAGCTCAGCTGGGAGGTAAAACAAGGAGGATGCCGTTGCTATTAGAGCTAAACCCCTGCGGCTCCGGGGCCACACAAGCCTTTCTTAAGATTAACCTGACAACCAGTACATTTCCTTTATGCTTTCAGAATAGCTTCTTCCTACTACTACTTACTGGGACATGAGAGGAAAATTAAACAAATTGAACAATATGGTTTGTTTTGAATACAGATATTTTCTATACACTGTGACTAGTAACATAGTTTTCTTTTTCTCTTGGGTTTTTTTTTTTTTGGATCTAACAATTAATGTTTAGGATTTTCTGTCCCAGTTTAAACAAGCAATGAGAAAGCTAGTCTGTGACAATATTAATTGGAGCCTGGATGTCCAAAAGTATGTTTTTCCTCCAGCAATTTCTTGAATAGGAAAAAAAGATCTCGAATGAAAGTAATAAGGCTACTGACATATATAAGAAAGAAAGTTGGCAGAGGACAGTGACTCTGAGATTATTTTATGTGTGTTAGCTCCATTGCTTTTAATGTCTGAATCTTCAGGAAATATCAGGTAACTGCTGTTTCTCCGGAGCATGCCTCCTTGAGGAGTATTTAATACACTGGGGAGACTTAGCAACTAGTGCCCCAAACCCAAGGATGATAAAAGGGAGGACAAAGGAAAGGTGCAAAAAGCAGCCTGGTAGAGGTAGAGAAAGGACCATCACTGATCTTCTCCCTCCATCCTCTCCTCCCAAGATAAGTGAAAGTGAAGTGAAAGTTGCTCAGTCATGTCCAACAATTTGTGACGCCAGGGGTTATACAGTCTATGGAAGTCTCCAGGCAAGAATACTGGAGGGTTGCCATGCCCTCCTCCAGGAGATCTTCTCAACCCAGGGATCAAACCCAGGTCTCCCGCACAGCAGGCAGATTCTTTACCCACTGAGCCACCAGGAAGATAAGCTACTTCTTAATTGCATTCCTTTGCTACCCTGAGAGATCAAAAATACATCTCACTTGTAAGCCTTGGCTAGCATTATGTACCTAAAAAATGCAGAATCAGAGTAAGTAAGGAGAAATATGAAATATTTTATTTCAAAAAATAAGTTGAAAATTGATGCCTATGCATGTTTCAGTGGACTTTAGGTTAACATTTAATTATATTTTTATTAAAAAAATTTTTATTGGTCTTTGTGTCTTGTTAAAGAAGTTAGTAGAAGTTTAAGATAGCTGTTTCTCTGCCTAAGTGGCTTATAAATGCTATAATATTTACTTCTACCTATAAATCTCCTATTCTAATTAGAATAAAGTAGGGAAGAGATTTCAAATACTTCAGTGGATTGAAAGGTCAGGTCAAAAATAAGATAGTAGAAGCATATTAGGATAGACCAGATATTAACTCACAAATTAGAGTATTAACTTTGTGCAACAGACTATAAGTTATGAGGCATGGGACCACATTCATTTGATTTATCATTTTATCCCTGGCCTCTATCACAATGCCTGACATATAATCTGTACCCAAATATCAACAGTCATGTAGTAATTTGCTGTGATATAATAGCTCAGTACAGATGTTTAACCCTGTCCCCTCATGCCAAAATGATATGATACTTAATAGGTTTATTTATCTTGAATTTAAGAAAATATTTGTGTAATAAGACACAATGAGGTGAAAAGAAATCCATCTGACATATACAAGTAAGGCAATGGGGATAAAAGACCATTGCACAAAGACAGGCAGGCGCCATGAGGATATAATTAGGAATGAGACTCTAATGCAATAGTTTATAAAGAACTAGCTGTGCTATTTGGGGATATCTACAAAATAATAAATTGTCAAAAAAAAAAAAATAACATGGCTTTCTGGCAACATCAGGGCTGTCTGTCCCTGAGTCTGAAAGATGTTACCTGATGAAGGAGAGTCTGAGGGATGAGACTGTAATAAATAAAGAGATGTCTAAAGATGAATGTTCAAAGGAACAAAGATGCCTTTTGAGTGATCATTCACAGAAAATATGCTGTTTGTTTGTCTTTTTTTAAGTAAACATTTAAGGTTGGTAATAATCTCCCAGGACATTTTATAGATTATTTTTTAAAGACTGTTAGTTACATAAATAGGAATTAGAAAGCTAATTTTGCATTATTAAAAGAAACAGGCAGTAACTAGACCAACTTTACCTGTCCTGAAAGGGCACAGAGGAGAAAATCTAAGTTAGATTGGATGAAATACTGCTTATAAGTGGCTTCATCTTCTTCCCAAGATCAGGTATGGAATGAAAAGGATGGCTGGAAATTCTGTTAATTTTGAAATCAAAGAGTGAAAAGAAAGTGAAGTTGCTCAGTTGTGTCTGACTCTTTGCGACCCCATGGACTGCAGTCTGTCAGGCTCCTCCGTCCATGGGATTTTCCAGGCAAGAATACCGGAGTGGGTTGCCATTTCCTTCTCCAGGGGATCTTCCCGACCCAGGGATTGAACCTGGGGCTCCCGCATTTCAGGCAGATGCTTTACCATCTGAGCCACCAGGGAAACCAAAGAGAAATGTAAAAGTAAAGAAAAAATTCTTGGACTTGGAATTCTTTGGAAAAAATTCTTATCTGGAGAATGAGTAGAAAAATTCAATGACTGTTAATCCAGATTGCAACTATAAAATAACCAATTCTCTTCATCGTTAACAGCAATGAAGTGACTTCTAGGCATACAGTTATCTGATTATGATATTCACGCTAAACTAAGGCCTCTGTATGTACCTTGAGAGGTCATTTTTAAGATGGACTAATCCTGTATCATTGGTTACAAATCTGAAACAGTGAGTTTCGTATTCACATTAAATCATGTGTATAGTGGCCAACTATGGGTTGTGGCCCATAGTTACTTTACATTTTGAAATATAAGCATATATAAAATGTAAATCTATCTTTTATAATAATTCACTCTCCTTACAAACCATCACCATCAACTACATTTTCAAAGGCATGATAGAAATTTTTTAAAACTTACCGATCCCTGAGAATGGTCCAGAGCTCTCCACCTAGGCAAGCTTCCATCAACATATACAAATATTTGCTGTCCTTAAATGTTCTGTATAATCTGTGAATTGCAAACAGAAGAACAAGAATTATAAACATTACTGTTTTTAAAAGCATGTAAATATTTTTCATTGCCCAGATTACAGTCTTACTCTTGATTTGCCAAACTTGAAATTTTATTAAAAGAATGAGAAAGATCTAAATTCATAAAGAGGAAAAAGGAGGTTATGTTTATGATTTACACACTGTAGGGCATAGACTCTCCTTTGAAATGTTTTGTATTCAGTTTCTTTAGTCATTGCTGACTCTGTGATCCTTTGGACTGTAGCCTGCCAGGCTCCCCTGTTCAAGGGATCCTCCAGGCAAGAGTACTGGAATGGGTCACCATGCTCTTCTCCAGGGGATCTTCCCAGCCCAGGGATCGAACCCGTGTCTTCTGCATTGGCAAATTCTCTACTGTCTGAGCCACCAGCAAGCTTAATCCCAATGATTATGGACCAAGAGGACTTTTTGGGATTCTCTAATTCCAATTTGGCTAACATTTCAAGCATGGCCTCTTGAGCGCTATTTAGTGGTCATAAACATGCATAAACATAAACATGGATACACAGTGATGATACTTTAAAGTACAGATGTGTATATTTTGCACTGGTCACTTAAATTCATATGATACCCTGTTTTCAGCAAGTGCCACTGGCAAATTAACTAGAAAATCTGCATATATTAAAAAAAAATTCCCACTGCTGTCTTATGAGTGCTCTCAAAATACTGAGATGGAACAGTCATTTCATTTTTTAAAATCTTCAAAAAATATTGAAATAAAGAATATTCAAGGTAAAATAGTTTGATTTTTAGTATTAATAATTTGTCTTTCAAGTACCAGAGGTCTACGTAGAGTTCCAGAATAACTGAAGATAAAAATGGAACATCATGAAGTCTGATTTTTCCTTTAGGAAAAACATATTTGTTTTTTTCTCAGAATCTGATTCTCATTTTTTAAAAATCAATATTTTAGTGCTTTCTTATTTAGTGAAAACTTTCTTAAAATCTGATTTAAAAATATGTTTCTTTGTGTGAATCTAATGTGCAACAGTGAGTGCACATGGCAGAGAGTTTAGTGGTTGCTTTTCCACTTGGAATGGGGGACTTGAAGCCTTGGGCAGGGTCCTTGTTGTTGTTGTTCAGTAGCTAAGTTGTGTCTGATGCCAGGCCTCCCTGTCCATCACCAACTCCCAGAGCTTGCTCAAACTCATGTCCATTGTGTCGGTGATGCCATCCAACCATCTCATCCTCTGTCGCCCCCTTCTCCTCCTGCCCTCAATCTTTCCCAGCATCAGGGTCTTCTCCAGTGAGTCAACTCTTCACATCAGGTGGCTAAAGTATTGAGGCTTCCGCATCAGTCCTTCCAGTGAATATTCAGGACTGATTTCCTTTAGGTTTGACTGGTTGGATCTCCTTGCAGTCCAAGGGACTCTCAAGAGTCGTCTCCAATACCACAGTTCGAAAGCATCAGTTCTTTGGTGTTCAGCCTTCTTTGTGGTCTTTACCTGACTATGAAGTCAGAATGAGCCCCCTGCATGATCTGCTTCTCCGAGCGGATGTGTTCCTGCTGTCTTGTGTCCACGATGTGGCGTTTCTTGAGAATCTTCATTGCAAAGGTTTTGGATTCTTCACTTTTTAACTGGACCTTAAAGAAAGTCAGAAGGGAGTGAGTGAGAAAAAAAAATCTACAGAGTTAATATAACAATGCATTCTTAGCTCCAAATTAACAGGTGCATGGAGCATTGAAATGACACCCCGAACACCACCTGTGTCATGGTAAAGCCTGTCTGGAGCTGGATTTGAAATCCAGGGCTCACAGACATTGCCCAGTCTCATTCCACTGGACCCGATACATTTTTACCAACTGGATTCCCAATTAGTTTTGTGCCCACTGGGATTAGAAGAGGGCAAGTGTATTTAATTCTCTTTGTATTATTTCATGTCATTTCATATTATATGTTTGAGTATACTTTACCATTTTTCTCCTTGAATCAGAAAAGTAGAAATAAAAACTAATTTCTTCTCCAATTTTATTACTTCCAGTGAGTTTCGAAAAAGTAAGGCCATATGGTCCTATATGATTTTCCTCTTTAGTTCTAGTCCACAAACATTTCTCGAGTTATTTAATTCAGTGACAGACCCTTGTCTCTGCTGAGACTGAAAATTTATGTACTGTTACTTCTTTTTATCTCAGTCTTTCCTTCTCTCCAGTTAAAGGAAACAGAGATGGTAATAAGATTTTTTTGTTTTTCAAAAGATTCTGGAAACTACTTTCCTTTGTCTTCTCAAAATAGGTATGATGGCTTTAATCCTCTCTGCCTTAAACTTTACTCCATGGTTATACTAACTGGGAGACCTAAGCTCAGCCTTGGTGTCCCCAGTACTTCCAAGCCTCTGTTGCAGCCCCTTTTGGTGACTCTGGAGGAGCTTGGGTTCTCCAGATGCCATTCCAAATATAGGTGCTAGTCTGTGTTCACCGATTTACAAAGAATTCAGCAAGGTGACTCTCTCCTTGTAAGGAGGACAGAGAGCAGAGCTAATCACCTAACATAAGTTATCATCTAGTGCTCTCAGGCCAAAGAATCCACAAGATAATACCAAACAGCCCACATTTTTCTGAACTAATGAAGGCACTGGAGAAATAAGACAACAAGCCATTTCTGCTTTTTAACTGACGTATGCCCGCCCCCTCTTTAGTTGTGAATTGCTTACAGCTTTAGCTGCAGGATGGTGAAGGTTTTAAGTGTCTTGTTCATGTACACATGGACAGACTTAATTCAACTGAGAAGACATTGATGTGGCAAGGTCTTTAGAAGAAAACATGAAGACACTTCAAATAAAGAGGCTTCAGTCTGCTGCCAGCATTTGAGAATCTATGACAGGTTAGAAGGGAAAATGGATATTTGAAAATGCCTTAAACAGCTAAAGGCCCTCTATGCCGTTTGTGATCCTTGTTGAGATGATAGATTAGTGTGACACAAATGAGCTCAGTTATAGTTCATAGTAAAATACAAAATGTGAAAATTCACTTCTAAAAGAAATTTGGACAGAGAAGAAAGATGACATGAAAAATGAGCTTTGTCAGAATACTAACATTCACATGGATAGACCTAGAGACTATTGACTAGGATAGACCTAGTCAATCAGAGAAAGAGAAATGTCACATAATATCCCTTATGTGCAGAATCTGAAAAGAAATGATACAAATGAAATTACTTACAAAACAGAAACAGAATCACAGACTTAGAGAACCAATTATGGTTGCTGGGGGAATGAGGGGGGACTGGATAGTTCGGGAGCTTGGGATGGACATGTACACACTGCTGTATTCAAACTGGATAGCCAACAAGGACCTACTGTATAGTACCAGGAACTGCTCAATGTCAGTGTTAGGACGGGAGGGGTATCTAGGGTAGAATGAATACAAGTGCATGTATGGTTGCATCATTCTGCTGTGTGCCTGAAACGGTCACAGTATTGTTAATCGGCTCTACTACACTATAAAATAACAAGTTAAAAAGGAGTATTAACATTCAGAGAAGAAATCTGATCATATTCCCTCTTTAGAGTCTTACCCAGATAAATGACTGAAAAGTAGGTCACACAATGTAACAATTACTCTCTCTAGAGTAGTTAACATTTAACTTGCGTATAGGTTAGGAGGAAAGAACTCCGGCTTTAGGGTGACAGGTCTGGACATCAATCCTAACTCCACTTAAGGTCTCTCTCTCTCAGTCTTCTTGGGCAGCTGAGTAACTTCTCTGAGCCCCCGTTCTGGCTGAGGATAACACCATGTACTATATGGAATTAATTGTGACCTTACATGAGAAAGTACCACCAAATGGGCATGCATTGTTGTCTCTCTACATGTATCTTGGGTAGATCAAGTGTTATCCTTAAAACAAAGCTAGATCATGTCACTTCTGTGCGCAAACACTGCAGTGGCTTCCCAGCTCACTCATGATAAAGACAAAGCTGTCACAGATGCCTACAAGGCCCTGCATCATTTGCACTCCTGCTCCCTGTGAGCCTCACTCCCCCCTTGGGGTCACTGTGTTCAGGTCACACTGGGTACCTTGCTGCTCCTTGAGCACAACAAGCAAGCTCTTACCTCAGGCCATTTGCCCATGCCTGCCTAAATATTCTCCCACAGTTATCCTTCAGGCTTGCTGCTCACTTTCCTAAATTCTCTGCTCAGATGCTTCCTTACTTAGAAAGTCTCTCCTCACACCAGTCTACATAAAAGAGTAACCACCGACTTCTCCCTTCCCTTTTGTAGACTTCTATATAGCTCTATCACAAGCTATATTTATTCTGTATTTATGACACCAAATATTTATTCTGATTACTTGTTTAGTATCTGTCTCCTTTCACTATTCTGTAAGCAACCCAAGACTGGGGATTTTTTTTGTTCACTGTGCCTGACATAGAATAAATGCTCATGAAGTATTTGTTGACTAAGTGAATCAAAGAAAGAATGAAATAAGCCATGATGACTTATCACTGACAAAGGCACAAGAGAGCTGGTATCTTAGCATCATACTGTGTATTGCTGAGCTTAACAGGATAAAGCAAGTGAACTTATAAATGACAAGTATATAGCATTTACTCTTGTTCTTCTTTCCAAAACTGCCCTTATGCATAAGAAAGAAGAAAAGATTTCTGTATGCTGATACGGCATAGAAAATACACATACCAAATATCTATATAATTCAGCTCTGAATTTTCAGTTTTTATGCTTACAACATGTTTTCTTAACCTTCATTTTTCCTTGAATGACTAAGATATGGTATTATTCCCAGCCACACAGCCTACTACATTAATGACATCATCTCTAGGATGTCAGCTGAATTTTGGGGACAGTTGTCCATCTGCATCTCAATACAAAATATATTTATGAAGGGTCAAATAGAAATATGTTCACTGATATATTAACAATGGTTTTTAGGGAGATTTTTAGTTGATTTAGTTCTTTTTAACTTTTTTGAAATGGTTAACTTTCACAGTTAGCATATCTCACCTGTATGATAAGTGAAAATAATGACTCTGGTCATGGAAAAATTTTTAGTCTTTCTAAATCAGAATAACTATTTTTTCTGACTCTCTCAAAGGATTCTGGTACAGCGGAATCCACTGTATTAGGATTCCATGAATGCAAAGACCTTAAGAAGTTGTGTGCAGTAGGATAACAACCTATTCAAGTTCAGGCTGGACCACACTAGCCATATCCTTAAAGAACATACCTTATTTTTTAATTTCAACACAAACTCTCAGAGTAAGTTACAGAAGTTTGTATTAAGTGAGTCTAAACTATTGTGCTTTATTATGAAGGTGTTTTCACAAAACTAATCCATGAAAAATTTTAAGGTGAAATTTAGTTTGTTTTTTATTTGTCCTATTGGCCAAATAAATTATTTGGTGGCTCAGTGATAAAGAATCCATGTGTAATGCAGTAGATGCAGGTTCAACCCCTGGGTCAGGAAGATCCCCTGGAGAAAGAAATGGCAACCCACTCCAGTATTTTTGCCTGGGAAATCCCATGGACAGAGAAGCCTGGAGGGCCACAGTCCATGGAGTCAGAAAGTCCAAAGAGTTGGAAACGACTTATCAACTAACCCACCACCGCCAGATTAGTAATACCAACACCACTTGTGCCAATTTGAAATAATGATGATGATTTTATAGCAGGTCAGCTAGAGATGACAACAGTGTTGAGTATGGACAGAGGCAGGCAAAAGAGGAGGAAAGGAATGCATACTTTCTTTCTTTTGCTCAGGAATCCTTCCCAGCCTGCTTGGTCAGGCATGATTCCCAAGTCTGTCTTTGCAGATCATTCCAATACCACCTAGATGTACAGGCTAATGCACTGGTTGAGAATGTAAATTTTGAAACTTGTCTACCTTTGTTTAAATATCAACTTTTTTTTTTTTTATTGTGATCCTGGACACATTTCTAAAACTCTATTTCCCCATCTGTAATATGGGAATAATTCTTACCTGTGAAGATGAAATAAAAGGGCCTATATATCAAATAAAGTGTCTGGAACAGAGAACACATTCAGTTAGTTGCTTTTATTCTTTTGTGCTTCTGAGTTTAATGATCTCTTCAGGCCAAAGCAATTTTGTCAAAATATGATCCACTACAGGAATGAAACTTTGAACCAGTTTGTATTCCCAACCCACCTACTTCACTTCTACCCAGTGAATAAGCAGCAGATTGAGAGGCTTTAGGTAAAAGATTGCTGACCCTTGTACCACATTGGTTTCTCTCTCAAGATTTCTAGAAAGGAAACATGAATTAAAAAATGCTAATGCTCAATATCTTTCTTTTGTTTTTTTATAAGTAATGCTATGTGCTATATCAGAAATTAAAATTAGCAAAAGTTTCATTTGTGTAAAAAGTTATTTTAACGTGAAACACTGGGTTGCCATTTGAAGGAATATATACCTGAGCAAGGTGAATCTTAATATGGGAATTTTTGACAAAGATTTTGACACATTCTTAACTATCAGGCTCTATCTGGTACCCAAATAATATGGACCTGAAGATGAGAGGCAGTTCTACCAGCATTTTAAAGAGCTTTGAAGACACAATTGCTAGCTGTATTTAAATATGTGCTTTCTTTTATCTGGGACAAACATTTGC